ACATATATGTCAGGCATATATATTTTTATTTTTATTTTTCATTTTCTGGCTTATGTTCCAACCTGAAACTACTTATAGATATATGCTGAAATGTAAGCTTGCCATTCATCAGTTGGAAGTGACTGCTTCAATTACATTTCAAAAATATAAATTATTAAGAACTCAGATTTATAGAACTAACAGCAAAATAATATAGAATATTCTTAAAATGAACTGTGTTAGGCTTTATATTTTCATACACATTTTTTAATGTTTATCACTCCTTTTTTTGGTAAAATCAGATGATGTATAGAAACATCACCTTCAGAATGGTAGATGATGAAATATATATTAAATCTGCTACTGGTATAGGAAATAATATACTGCTCTTTTTTAAGCAATCTATTCCACATTTTGCTATTCATATCTTTGGTTGTTAGCTTGGTTTTACCTAGTTAGTTGCTTATGTTAAACCAAGTGACATCTAGCTGAAATTTCTGAAAAATCTAGAATATCGTTTTAGTTTTAGGAGAACTGGATTACTGAGCAGAAGAAGTAAATGGCCAGTGATATTTGAAAGTAGTTTGATCAGCCTAGTGAATTAATTTTAAAATGACACAGATTATAAGAATATTTAATACAGTACTGAAAAACGGGAGTTTATAGGTGTAAATACATTTATTAAGGTAGTTTTTCTGCTTGACTGCCTATATGCACAGGATATTTTGTTCATAAAAATATAGTTTGCAAAGTGTGCCTCAGTAATTGGAAAAATAAATTCTTATGGCCTGCTTAAGTAGGAGGGAGTGGAAGCTGTGGAGACCACAGTCTTTAGACAAGAGGATTGGGGAGGCAGGCTGTGATTTAAGTCTGATAGGATTAATTGAAGGGAAGGTAGCTGCAGAAGCCAAAGCTGGGACCTGTTGTGATTGCTACTGGATTATACTGAATATGCAGTAACTTGGAAGACAGGAGAAATAAACTGACATAACTAGCTGGTTGGTTGATCTGCTGACTTATGCAATAGTGGGAAAAAAGCATTTTGAGAATCCAGTCCAAGAGAGCGTTTTATTCTGTATGCTAGCACAAGGTTATTTTTTGTTTGAATGAAAAATATGTTAAATATTTTTTAATATGTTATTAATGCCAAGGATTAAATCATTAAAATGCATGAATGGATGAAGTGGGATGACAGGGATAGCACATCAGACAGAACCTGTAAACTATTTTGTATGTAGTATTAACAACATTTTCTTTCCTTCTGTCTTTGTTGGTGGTAAAGAACATGCAAGATAAAGAACATTGTTGTTACTGTAAAAATTAAACTGAAAGAGAGAAGGAATTCACTGAGCGGAAAGTGCATTAGCTTATGTTCCAACCTGGAGCATTAGCTGAAAGTAATATTAGCGAGCAGATATAAACAGTCCTTCTATGGAAAGAGACATCTATGAAATTTCCTTGTCATGGGTGAAATCATATACTTCACTCCTAAGAGAGAAGCAGGAATATAAATAAATAAATAAAACACTGACTTAGTAAGATTCAAGATGGCAAGGTACACTTGAGTATTAACTGCACAGAGGACAGGGTAAGTCAAGACATGTCGGGGAGACTCTCCCATTGTATCATGAGGTTCTGAGTGGATTGCCCCCCTTTTCACTGGAACACTGAGAATTCTGTTGGCTTAGTTGAACTCAGAGGAAGTTTCCTTTTAATCACTTTTTTTTTTTTTTAAGGTGCTACTTTATTTACGTAGTCCTGTTTGGAGAAATAGTTTACCATCAATGGCATTTCTAGAGTTACGGGTTTGTGGTAGTCAAACACATAATAAATAAATAAATAAACAAACAAGTAACATGAATTTGCTATACTTTAAAATGTAGGTTTTTACAGACACATAGTTCTCATAAGTATGCTAGGAGTGGAAAAGACAGAAATAAACATTAGTACTGGCAAAAGAAAAGCCCACTCTTGGCCTTATTAATCTATAACTGAACACTTTCAGGATATTTCTCTTTGCTGGTAACGGCCACTGTGTGAAGTACACTTGCAAACAGAGCACACGTTTTCATTAGCTCTAGTATCTATTTGCTTTAAGCTATTAGGAACAAGGAGACAAAAGCTAGTCTTTTTATTTGCTATTTCATATTCATGCACTTTCTCCTTTTTAATGGCTTGACTGACAGCCTCGGTATACATTGTCCAATGTCTTCACATCAAGCCCGTGACCTCAATTCACCTATCATTCACTGCCATCATGTCAGCTGAGGCTTCTGTGCGTGTCCATTATTCACACACTATATTGTGTAATGATGAATTGCCCTCTTGGGAATTTTAGGACATCTTAATCCTAGTCTGACAGAACTCTCTGCGATAAATAATCGACAAGCCCCTATGCTAAATGCAAGTACATCAGAAGATGTGGATTTTTGACAGCTTTTGTTGAATAAAAAGAAGCAAGAGAGCATGCCTTCGGCATTGTTGAGCAGCTTCCGTCTCATTTTCATTTTCATTGGATGCTTTCCTACCAAGAAACTATGCAGGAGAAGATGGAGATTCATTGTGATTTTTATCTTTAGTTGCTTTCCTGATAAACAAAACACCTCATTAAGAAAACAATTATGGTGAATTTATTATGATCTAATCTCACTTTAAATCTGTCTTCTTTCTCCATTCATGCATGTTAAGAAAAGAGAACCTTGTGCAAAAAAATCAGTAGTATATGAATGTGTATTTCTACTGACAGCCATGTGTGTCTGTATGCTGTCTGGCATTTAGAGCAAGGGTAATTCCTAGTGCTCATGAAGCTATGCAGAAGTAGAGAGTAAGGAAGATGGACTTTTTGCTTTCTTGTGCTGACAGGTTGGAACTGGCCAGAATTGCAGTGCATAGCAGGCTGACAACTTGCTACCAATTATTTTCTAAAGGAAGTGTAGAAAGAAAGGGAATAAGCAGAGGCCAGCCCTCATTCACTATGTCAGTGCCATGACAAACTGTGTTAGTAGCGTGATAAAATGTAGTTCTAGTGATACCTTCACCTTTCACACATCGCTAGAGTTTGCCAGGTGTTTTAGCACTTGGTATAGCCCTCAGATTGACTCTTGAAACATGACAGGACACACAGTGGTTCTGTAAGTTATGGGGGTTGCAGATACCCAAAAGGATTTGTCTGCAGCATTATTTACATTTGTTGTTGCTGGAAAGAAAGTGGTGTGCTTTTTGCTAGCAAGAATTTCAGGAGCACAAGCGTAGTCTAGAAGATCACAGAATTTGGGGGAAAAAAAAAAAAAGTAAAACGTCAAAAGAAATTGAGAACAGACAAAATAGAGAAAGCATTTTCTTTTTTTTCCTTTTTTTTTTTTTTTTTTTTTTTTCAGTGTTCCAGTGTGTCAGATAGCTGGATGAAAAGAGAAAGGAAAAGGAGTAAAATTAATTGAATAGGATAGTTGCTTTGCAGCACCTTTTTTAGTCAATTGGTAGTAATTGACACCATTTCTGCCAGAGTATATCCCTAAGATATTCATGGCCACACCTGTAAGGATTAACATTTTAGGCAAACACATTCTTTGCAATAGGAAATAGCGAAAAATGTCTCTTCTCATTTCATATGAGAAGTGAAGCAAAGTGCATGGAGGTTCATTTTTTTTTTTTTCTGCAATACATGCCAGAGGGAAGAAGCTGCTGCTTCTCACTGCAGCATTACCCTGAAAGGTGTGATACAAGAATGCATGTATCACACAAGAATACATTGTATTGCTTAGCCTGACCAAAACACAAAATAATTTTCAGATCTAGGTCAGTCTTATTATCATATACATACTTACAACTTTTTCTTTATTATGAATCTACTGAAATCTTATTTATTTTGCATCTGACCCTTTAACTGAGATCTTAAGAACTGGGGAGAACTGTGGTGTGAGTTCTTGTCTTTGATCTGAAGTTTGATCCACAGATCACTTCATCTTAAATGTGTACTTACTTTCCCTTTTTTCTTTCTGTTCCTTTTTATTTCCCCTCTCTTTCTCTTATTTTTCCTTCTGTTTTTTTTTTTTTTTTCCTTCTCCTTGCCATAGTTTTTATTTGAACTAATAATTCTATGGATCTGAGGGACCATTTCTGGACAACACTGGTGCACTTTCAATACAAGTTCTTCATTCAGAAAAAAATGCTGTTTTTAAATTAAAACAAACCAAATCAAAACATACACATGCACACACAAAACTGTTGAAAAAAAATATGATCCACTTGGATTATAGTTGAGTTACTACTGTGTTGATATTTAATTGTAAATGTGTACGGACTCCCTATTTGAAGTACAGTAGATTACTATATGAAAGTAATTCTCTTCGTTTTTGATGCTACTTACTAAGCTCATTACAGGCACTCTTAAAAATATATTTACATACTTTTATATATATCTAAATTTAAAGATATATTTATACAATATACATTTATATTTATAAATAAATTTATATAGATATATCAATATATTTATATATCTTTAAACTTCTAGTTAAAAGAGCCTTACTAAGTTGGGAGTCATGTATTTGTATTAAATAAATTAGTGGAAATAAAAGAAAGATAAGGTTATTAAAGGCTGAATTCTATAAAGCTGAGGGATAAGGTTTAATGTTACATTTCACTGTTTCTTGCATAAGTTGCATTATCACATTTAAGCTGAGGATGCTGTCAGACCTTGCAGAAGAAGCAAATTCTCATCTTCTGAACTGTCAGACACTGCTTTAATTAAGCTACAAAGCAACTCTTCTCTAAATAAAAAATTGCAGGTGTCTCTTCTCGCATTGCAGATCTAAGGCTCAAATTGACAATATAAAGTCAGGGTGTTGCCAGGTTCTATACAATTGGATTTATAGGCTAGACAATTTGTGTGTATATGTGTGAGAGAAAGAGTCAGAGAACAGTTTGGATAATAGACGATAATGGGTTCACGAAGAGCTTTGTCTCCAGGATAATCTTACTAATGAGGAAGCTAAGTAAGAATAATGATATTTGGAATCATGTTACTTAAGCATTTCTTTATTTCATTGAAATGATAAACACAGTTTTATTTTACCAGAAACTATGACTCATTTTTCATATTTCAAAAAGAGATTTTTCATTAATACGTTTAATGACTGAACTATTAAAGAATAGGAATAAAAATGTCAAATAGTAGGAATAGAACTGGAATCCTTTGGAACTGTGTTTTGAATATTTGAAGATCTCCACAGATGGCAGGGAACAGGAATGTGAACAGTATGTGTCTTAATGTGCATTTGAAAACAGGTCTCTTGAGCCTCTTGAAAAAAGCTACTTTGAAATTTCTGAAAAAAAGGAGGAAGAAAAAAATGAACATGATGCAGTTTCAGTCAGATTAACATAAGGTCATAAATCTTATTTGGATAATTCTCATCATTTTGAAAGTAGATAATACAAATGAATGTAAAATGTTAATTAGATGTTACACTTATTATATTTTCAGGAAGATCTTTACCTGAAAATTGTTGAAGAGCAAGAACAGCTTAATGTATGAATATCTGTTTTAAGATCTATTGGGCATAAAAGTGAAGTATACAGCAGTGCAACTCATGAATAAAAGGAGAGGATTTTTTTGTTTTTAATTATTACCTTCTACATGTCTGTGGCACATGGATCTGCTGATGGAAAGTGCTGCTGCATTAATGCACCATCTTTCTCCTGTCTCCTCCACTCCTCCCACTGACATCTGCCACCAAAGTCTGACCTCAGTAATATCTTGTAAGGTGGCATTCAAATGCTCAAATTACAATTAAAGAGAGCAATTAATAATCATGATGACATTTTTAATTTGTAATTACAGAAAATTACATTGCATGGTAAAGAATACATGTAGGTTTTATTCATTTAATTATAATTTAAACAGCATTAAAAATAAACCAAAAAAAATCCACCAAACCCTTGTTGGTAATATGAAATCAAAGGAATTGAAACCTAAAGGTTTCTTTGTAAGCAGTTTTACTCTGTAAAAGTATACTACAAAATCTCATTGGTTCTTCAAAACAAAACAAAGGACAGCTTCAAAAATGAAAAAAAAAAAAGTTCTCTCTTCTTAAAAAGAAAAGTGTTTACAATGTGTTTGGGTTTCAAGTTTTAGCTTTTAATTAGCTTGTATATTTTTTCACACTAAATTATTTACAGGATTTTTCATGTTTTATATCAATTTAAATGGAGAGGGAATTAAATAGGGCATATGTAATGAGATTTAAATAACTGAAGAAAATCAAATCAGCTAAGTTTGGGCTATTTTATACACTACAATTCAGGATGTGCTATAATACTGTTTGAACACTTATTCTTTAGGAATTTCTGTTCTATTCTGTTCTGGTATGTGAGGGCTTCATATGCATAAAAAGTTTGGTTTGTATTGCTACATTCCAGTTCTGCGGTAAATTCTGTGGTGTATACACAGAACTGGGTCTTCTGGATGATAATGAGACTGAGCACATGTGCTGTAGCAACAAATAATAGGATTCTTTACTGTATGGAGCTGTTTGTTTACACACATAGTGGTAAGGATTATCTTACATATACATAGAAGTACTTGTTTGTAAGACAACCATTAAAAAAAAAAAAAAAAAAAAAAAATGTTCTAAGTACAAAATCTAGGTAGTTTGGAGTGCTGTTGTTAATCTCTCAGACCTAGATATGTTAGCACACATACATTGTCTGAGATAGAAACATCATTGTATACACATGAACATATATGGTTCATTGAATCTCTGTGACAAACATGAAATCCGTATATGCCTAGAGATGATATAGTTTTAAATGCAGAATGTGAAATTGCAGTTGACAAGGGAGAAAAACTGAATAATGATAGTGTAGATGAAATTGTACTGAAATTTCCTTACACCTTACATTAAGTTTTTAGATGATGTGGACTTACCCCCAAAACAGTAATTCAGTATTTTACATTGAACAACAGTAGAATTATGCTATTTGAGAATCTATCTTTATTTTCTGGCTATATTTTCAGATGCTTTGTCTCATACAAGAGAGTACATTTCCAAGAAGAAATTGTTACAGGCCTATCATGCAGAACAATGTATTTTGTCCATAATTACGTAGAATGAGGAATGGCTCTGCAGTAAATAACTTTCTGGGCTTTCTGCTACAGGCTTCCTCAGGTTGGTCTCTTAAAAGATCTAAGTTCTAGTGGACACTGGATCTGGGTTTATCTCCTCTATTTCAAGGAAGTAGAAAAAGGTTACATGTAAAGCTTTACCTGGTACACAGCTTCTTTCTCTTTTCAGTACTTCTTCCTTTATTTGTTGTCCTGAGAGATCTCAAATCTCTGAGAAATAATATTTGGGCTAGAAATCAGTTGTTTATAGATGCAGTATAGTTCTAATAAATCCCACTGATTTTAGAATATACCTGAATATACCTGGGAGGAGGTATGGCATGACCATCTTGTTACTGCAGCTTCCTAGATTTACCTTCCTCCCCTCCCCAGAGTGTGCCCAGGTTCTGCACCAGTAACAGAATTTGCTTAGGATTCATTGTATCATCCAATCAGTGCTATTTCCATGAAAAAAAATAAAACCAAAACTAGCAAAAATAAAGAAAACCAAATCTGTTCAATAATCTAATTTCTATGTTAAGACTGAGGGGATTTTGGTACAGTGCTGTGTTGAACATATTTAAAACAAATCTGACAACTTGATTGTTTAAAAAGCAGAACGAGCAGTATTTCTGTGACAGTGTCAAATGTGCTATACCTAGAAACAGCATTTTTGAAAAGTAAACATTTCAAGAATTAGCAAATATAACCTTCTATTCCATATTGGAAAATATTTTCTTTCTGAGACTTTTGACTAGGTTTATGATAAGATAGAAGATAATACTAACATATAAATTAAAATATGAAGATTAAAATATATATTTAAGATTCAGCTCCTAAGCTACGGTAAGTATTATTGCTTAAGAAAAGAATAAATAGTGCTTTCTGTATAAAAGAAAGAATGCCTATCCAATGTATTTCTTTTTCTGTTTGCAAATGAAATATATCAGATGATTAGTCTGAAGAGATGTCCATCCCCTGAAATAAGCTTAAATATTTTTAAACCGTCAGCCTGGAAAACCATTCAGTTTAACAAGAATTTCATTTTATTTAAATGCTATGAAACATTTAAATTGAAGCAAAATGCATGTTTGGCAATATTCACTATTCTAGATTGACTAGAACTCTTAGGAAGCAAATGAAATTAAATAATAAGTTAATAAAAAACCCAACACCTTTCTTTACCTAAAGTAAGGAAATTTGTAGACTACTTAAATTGATCATTCTGATTTCAGAGTTCTTCCTACTTTCAAAATATCATGATTTGCTTCTAAGAGCAATATCTTTTAATCTCCTGAATCATTAAGCATTCTCTTTTGTGACTTTCTTGCTTAAGTAATTTTATGCGTAGTCCATAGCCTACTATTACAGATTAGACGGATAGTTGGAGTTTTCTCTAGATGTGCTGACTGTAACCATTATAGCTAATATTTTCAAAATTTTATAATGACTTGTTATAGCTACATCAAATTTTTTGACTCCCTACATGTTGAGAAAAAACCTTCAGACACCTGGATTTAGAAATTCCTTTACACTTTGAGTAATGTCAAATATTGAGACATTGTATGAGAAAGCTGAGAAAAATGTATCTTAGTAGTGCAAAAAGATTGCTTCTTAAGGCTCTCCTTTCTTCTTCTATGATTTGCATCAGTGCTTCCCAGATACAGTTGTGCCTACATCTGAATATTTTTGTCATATCTGAGCAAATCTAGTTCAGTCACTTTTGAAGAGGCAAAGAAAAGAAATACTTTCCTTCCACTTTGGGTAATACGTTGTAAGGTTAGCGGGAGGACAGCTTTGGTATTACTGGATCAATACAGATATGAAAGGTAGAAAATGGTTGAGATATGACCTTGTTAATGAGGTGTCTGGGTCAAATCTTTGTTTCATCTTACCAAAATGGCTGAAGCAATTCATGCCTATTGGTGATCAATGAATACAGAAGAAGAGTAGCTCTGGTTATAAATTTCATCATCTCACATGCACAGGGCTTGAGACAGCAGGAGGGAAATCTCGGAGGAGACAGTGCAAGTTCTCACATGAACTGCAGTAGGGTCAGCATTTCATCACTTACCAAAAACAATTAATCTGTTTTCCAGTATTTCTTGAGAATATAAGCCTAACAAGATTTAAATAAATAATTAAATAATCTTAAAATGAGCTTTCTGTATATTAAAAAAAAAAAAAAATCTAAACCTTTAACAATCTACCAGAGTCCTTCATGTTTCAGATCTCTTAATTTAAGATTCAGATTGACTTCTGAATATCACCTCTGCCATGTAACATACCAGTTAAACAGGACTGTGGAATAAATTCTTCCTTGTGGGCAGGATCCATGAGGTTTTGTTAAGTGTAACTCAGGTCAATTGCAGTCAAAGGCACAAGGCTGAGCTGGCTGCCTCAAACTTCCAGTCTGCTGAGGTACTGCCATCTTTTGCTTTAAGGTATACTTGCACTATGACATTCTTGACATGTCTGTCTGGTTTTGCTTTTCTTTTTTTCTTCCTTTTTTATTTTATATATATATATATATATATATATATATATATATATATATATATATATATATATATATACATAAAATTAAGTTTTAGCTTTCTTGTGTTTCTTCTGCTGTTCACAATTTAATTCAGATGATAATTTTCAGTAGGTAGGTCTAGCTGAAATAAAAGAAAACATACTTATTGACAGGATGCTAAATTTGTCGGTATAGTTTATTTTCTTTATAGAGAAGAAGCGTACAAGACTATAAAAAATGAAGTAACACCAGATGTGCAAATGACATGAAGAAAATGCTCAGGCAATTTTGAGATGGGATAATGCTTTTTGATTGTGTTCTTTGAGCTAGAAGGTGGCAATTAGTTTTTCATACACAGAAAAGTGTGAGACATCCTAATTAAACACCTTTTGGTGGAAGTCATCATTGATCAACCCAAACTGCTTGTAGTAGCTCTCAAGTGTGTCACCATGTGAGGGTAACACTAGAAAAGACTCTCTTTTTATTATTATTTTTTTTTTTTAATTGGAAGGAAATTGTGATTTGAGTGGTGATTCAAGAATGAACATTATAGTCACTAAGCCAGTCAATCAGATAGATGAGATAGGTTTTAGATAGAATTAGATAGATTAGATAGAATTAGATAGATTTTAGAATCATAAAAAAAGGGGGGGGGGGAAGAGGAATAGCTTTGTGTGATTTTGGTCAAATTATTTAACCTTTCTGCTTTATGTCCTCACATGAACTGCAGTAGGGTCAGCATTTCATCCTAAGAGAAAAGTTTTTATGGAACTTGGCAACCCCGAGAGATATTTGCATATTTGCTGAAATGCTTAATATACTAATACAGATCTTTTAATAACTATCCCTATGCATATATGCTTAATATTTATATACCTTATGTTCGCCTGGAGCTGGATGAGAATTTGTAACATCCACTAAAAACTTCTCGTGTTATAGGTTCAGCAATTTTTGTTTTACAACCTCGCAACTAAATTAAGAGAAGACTTTTACTTGATGGAACAGAAATGGTTGGGAGCATAAAAGAGCTGAGTTTCTTCCACATTCAAAGCAAATGGGAGGATACTACAGAGGCTAAATAGACTGAAGAAAGCTAGAGGGCACAAGTTTAAGAGTTCACCTCTTACATGTGCTTTTTACTTTAGAATCTGAAAGTTTGCTGTTGGAGGGTAAGAAAAAAGTAAATCCCATGTAGACGTTTCTAGAAGAGGAATTCAATTGACCAAGGACATGAATTGCTTTTAAAAGTATCACATGGCAATGCCTAAAAGTAAAAACTTGAACCTATAAGCATAGAGAAGGCTGGGAGCGCACTGTCTCTTTCAAAAACATTTCAGAAAGTTTAGAAGAATCATTGAAATAAAAAAGAAGCAAAGGAGATCTGGATTATGTTGCAGGTGAAATCATAAAGGAGTTGTTGCAAAAACACGACTTTGTTTCTCACAGGAAGAAAAACCATAGTTCGTGAGAAGGGTGATGGATTTATGGGACATTACATCTGAAAATGGTTATGCAATATGATTGGTCTCTGTAAAAGAGAAGGAAAGAGAAAAACCTGGATGACTGTGTTGTTAGATGAGGAGTTCAGGGCTGCCCTGTGCCACCTGCTGTCAGTTCCAGCTGGCTCAGCAACAGATAGAACGGCTGTCGCCCATGTGCACCAACTGGAACTAGTCAGAGGAAGCCAGGACGCCTCTGCCAGAAGATGTTGTAGAGCAGGTGGTGGCTGTTGGGCCAGGCTGGGAGGTGCACAGGCAGGGAGGGGGCTCTGCAGAGTGCAAGGGAGGCAAAAGAGAAGGGCAGAGTGGGGGTGAGGAGACCCCCGGCCTGTACAGTGCTGTCCCCTGAGGGGCTGCGGCCTATGGGGCTTCCTGTGGAGGAGCTGTTGAGTGAGAGGCCAGGAGCAGCAGTAGAAAAGGAACATGTTACAACCTGACCACAGGCTTCTGTGGCACCTTCATCATGGGGCCTGAGGGCAGCGAGTGGATGGGAGGCTTTATGGAGGGGCATCCTGAGTAAAGCTGAGGTGCGTTTCTGAAGCATTTCATTGTCAGATTTCTCAAGACAACAATCAGTAATCAGAAGTTTGCATTGATTGTCAATAAAACAAATGAAACGTAATTCCCTGAATTGGGACAATTTTGGTTGCTCGTGACAAAAAAAAAAAAAAAAAAAAAAAAAAAAAAAAACAAACGAAGAAACATTAGGCAACAGAATTTTGGGATCTATGAAATAAAAGTGCTTCAAATAAGTTTGGAAGGTCACTACTGACAGAAACTGTTGAATGATCAGGTTTTATTATTTGACCAGGAAAAGTGATGAGGTAATTGGAAGAGCTGACTGGAGGGTGAAAGCTGTAAACCAAATAATAAAGAGTTGAAACAAAGGAAAGAGACTCCAAGGAGTATATATACCTATTTCTCTAAGTATATATTTGGAGAGAAAGAGCACAAGATAAGTTAGGTAGTAATTTAAGAGCATGAGAAGGGTACTGAGTTTTTTTTTTTTTTTTTTTTTTAAATCTTTTCAAGAAGATGGGTCTAAAGCCAATTTTCAGATATTTACTTCTGAATGCTTCATGGTTAATTATTCCAGTGTGCTACAAGGGGCACATAAAGCATTATATGGACTTGGGAATGATAGACCGAGGAATCTTAGTGATGGACTACATATATTTATAGCTGAGTTTACTTTATAGATAATGAGTTTTAAAGTTACACGGTAATTTTTTATGTTATTTTAATAGGGATGTGGAGGAAATTAATGATTTTTACATCCCATTAGAATGCTTCACTCCCATAGCTATCAACAGCACCCTCTGGCTCCTTGGAAGTTCATTTTGAGAAGGAAGGTTGGCAACACAAATTCTGCACATCAATAGGTTTTATAGTTAAATATTACTTTCTTACAGTCCCTATACAGCCACAGACTATTTAGGATAGCTTTGGGATATCGATTTCCAACAGTAATGTCATGATTTCCAACCAGTGCAAAGCTAGATGTAGAACTGGTTGATGTTTTGGTGTTTCCGGTGTGGTTGTTTCAGCAGGTGTATTTATTGCCTCTATGGGGAGAAAAAAAAACAACTTTGTTTGTTTTCCCATTTGCTTATAGAAGATCATTTTCCTTCCACAGTTCATTTCCCAAGTTTTACACAGTACTCCGTTTAAACACTTTTTATTTCTTTTGGCTAGAATTGCATTAGAGAAATATTGCCTGAAAATAGCATGCAGTTTAAATGTACAATTTGTTTCTGCTGTTGCCAACAGTAACACGTTTTCTTTGGCTTTTGCCCACTGAGTGTTGATCAGATCAAGTTGATTATTCAGCAGCTCTAGCCTACCACCTGCTCCATTTTTATCTTGACATGCAAAACTGTTGATACACTGTCTTGCTTTGTAAAAGCCACATTTGTTATTCAGCTGTGGGATTTTTTTTTTGTGCGTGTGTGGGGGGGGGAGGATTGTTTTGTTCTGTTCTTCTGTTTGAGAACTGGATTCATTCTTTTAAACAAACTTTTAATCCATCAAATTCAGACTGATGCTAGCTTATACACTGCAAATCCAGGAGGATAGTTGTGTTTTGTTTTGTTTCTTTTTTTAAGTTCACATTATGATTATATCATTTAGGCTCTGGATTCTGTTGTGAATAAGGTTGCATATTTACTAGGCCCATTTCTGGAAATGCTAATGCAGATTAAGTACTATTTTCTCAGTTTTATTGTAAATCATAAATTACTTTGAACCTTATCATGCTGTTCTAGGTTATGTATGTGTCATAAATAAAATCATTTCCTCCTATTCTACAGAGGTAGTAATAATGTCTGCTTCCTCTTGCTATTCGTTGAAATTCTGGATTTCGATCCTTTTAATGTAAATGCCTATCCAATTCTGATAGAGTTTAAAGCTGTTTCTGATGTGGCCAAAAGAGACTTGTCTCTTCAACACATACTCTATTGCCAATTTTCTGATCTTCTTTTGGGATTGTAACAGCATGATATCTATATGTGTTTCTCAGCATACAAAGTGTGAGTAAATCCAGAACTCACTGCACATCTTGAAATGCAGTGTTTTGTACCTGGTTGTATTCTACTTCTGTGAATTGCATTAACTAGCAGAATGCTACAAAAACAAACAAACAAACAAAAAAGATAAACAGCTATTGGAATGAAGTCTTGATATATTATTATTAAACTTGTATAACTAATTGGTATAACTTATATATAACATTTTTTTTCCAATTCAATTACAAGATGATGAGGCAAAATGCAACTGTTGTTGCATTCTCAATTTGTTTAAATATAACTGACTTTGCAGAGTTTTTATTGCATAAGTGATGCAGGACTATATTGATATGTTCTTCTCCTTGCCTTTAGTAAGGTTGTGTTTACTTGATGTATTCATTTTCCTCCTTTTTTCTTTGAAATTAGGCAGTTGGATGTGTATTTCAGATGTGCCTGTTCCCATTTGTATCATGTTCAGATTTTAGTGGCACTAGAAGCATGTAGACATTTTAAGCAGTTTTTTTTTTTAACTAGAAACCAAATTAAATGTTGAAGGAGCTGTGAAACAAACTGAACTGCATCTATGTTCATTTATTTCATTTTTTTTCTTTGTGATAGAGGAAAATTACATAGGTGACTTTTAAGAACACTTGTTTTGGAGTCGGTTAGTTTAGCTGTTTCTAAAATAAATGTATGTAGTCCTGATTTCTCCCTGTGTGGCTAAAAACTATACATATACTACAGCTGAGAAAGCGGGGTAACAAGGCATGCCTACTCAGTGTATGTGTCATCTTCTAATCATGGCTGTGAAGTTACCAGCTCAGCTGTGAAGCTTGAAAGAGTTTCCTAAGGCAGGCAGTGAACTGTAGCTGGTGGTGTTATGCAGTTTGTGATTTGTCAGAGCAGTTGGCAATTTCAGTCTAATGGTTTCAGCATGTGTCCTTCACTTCAAGCTTGTTTAAAAATGTAACACTAATGTGGCTTGCATTTAAGGCAG